ATGGAATTGACCTGAATCTAAACCCTACCTCTGCCATTTACTCATTGTAATTCTTTACCCAAGTTACTTTACCTGGTGGGGTACATATATGTTGCCTATAAAAGGAAAATAATGCAGACACTTGTAACAATTTTGATGGTTAAGTGTTCAGAGTCACCAGGCAGGCTTTGAGGAGATATTTTATCTTTAGAATAATTTTGCAGGTTCACTGACTTCTGTTCTGGAAAAAAGAATGTTCAGGTTGTATCAATAAGGGCATAAAGGGATTTATTAGTTAGATGTTTAAGGAAACACTCTCAAAGAAATAGAATGCAACCCCAAGGGAAGGAGGAAGAGACGGTAGGCAGACAGACAGACAGAGACAGAGACTATTTCCTGGTATTGGAAATTGGGATACTTATGGGGGTGCAAATTTCAGGAAAAGGTGACCCACCCCCAGAAAGGTATTGGCCTATTTATAGGTATAATCCTGGATTTTTAAAAGAAGCATAACTTTAAGCATTCTTTGAATTCTCTCAACCAGTTCCCTTATCTCAGGATCGAGTTTCTCACTTAAGCCAATTTATGCACTTAGAATATTCTGCAGGCATTTTAGATGTGATGGGTCTGAAGGAAATGAGCCAAAAGTTAGCCAAGGGAGTGCTGCTGTGGATTGCCTTGTCTGATTTCAGCTGGCTCCTAAAACTGATAGTCTTTTTTAAAGTACGGTTTTTAATTATGACTTTCCTTGTCTCCTTTCTACCAGTTTTATTTCTTTTATCCCGACTCATCTAGCATCGTAGAATCATTCAATAAACAGAAAGTGTATTTGCTTTCTCTTTTCCCATTGTCTCCAAAGAATCTGGGTAATCAAGTTTTGTTAATTTAGTTTCCTGTGCTTCTCTTAATCCCCCTCAGTTCTTCCCATATCCCAACATCAGCTGCCTTTGGATTATTTGTCAGGTTTCTAGAGTGTCTCTCCCTGAGTTCATTCTACAGTGATTTCTAAAAATGATTTTGTACCTCATGCTGTTCAGTTTACTCCACTCATGAAAAGTATCTCATTCTGGGAATTAGCGTGTGGGTGTGCCCCTTCTGCCTCCAACCCAATTCCCTTTGATAGATCTTACCAGGTAACCTTACACTTCTTCAATTATTTCTGTCAGCCTACACTTTCACTCTTCACTCTGGGAAAAACAACATGTTCTACTCTAGCCTGTCCCAGTATCCTCTCCACCTGTCTCATTTGAATAATTACAACTCATCACCACGTCTCAGCTGGACTTCCCACATAGGTGTGTCACTTTTCTTAATGTTTCCCTTATACACTATGCTTCTTGTTCTGTAGAAATCCCTGCACTTAACATTTGTTTTTAGTCAACATGATTTAGTTTCTTTTCTTTTTTGAGGGGGAGCATGATTTAGATTTAGTAAGCTCTAAGAAGCCAAAACTGCTGTCTGCCTCGTTTCTACAACAGTCTGAGGTCTTAGTCCAGTGCTTGTCACGCAGATAGCTCCTAGAGAAACACCAACAAACAGTTCCCAATAATAAAGTATGGGAGGGTGGTATCATGGTACAGACCACTCCTGTAGGAAGAGTGTTAAAAACACTTTAAGAGCATAAAAGCCAGGATACCATTCGCAAATATGTCTTAAAACTTTAGAAACATACTCTGAAGAATGTCAGAAGTTAATCCCTCTTTGGGAGACTTTAAAACTGTTTTGTGAGACAGTTGCAGTCCAGGATTGATGAAACATGAGTTTCTGGTTGAGTGCTTTGTGCTGTAATGGATTCAAGTAAGACCCACAATTATATATGTGTGTTGGAGTCTTATACATAGTTTAAACTTCATTGGTATCTGCAGTTCAGACACAGTCGCTCTAATAGACAGTTATCACTACTGGTCTACTGTGTGCAAAGGACAAGACTAGGTACTACAGCAGAGAGAGACATATTGACCTCCTAGTCTGAAAGAAGGAAGCAGGTGACTAAGTAAATGCAATGGAGATTTCTTGAAAATTCCATTAAAGAGGAAAGACCATTTCATTCTGGTAGCACTGAATTAAACTTTATGAAATTGTGTAGTAAGGTTTCTACAGGCAGAGTATAGGATGGAAGAGCATAGCAAGTGGAGGAAATATCAGAAGAGACTGAGGGCATAGCATGTACCAGAAGAGTAAATTCTTTTCTATGGCAGGAGGTAAATTGCACAGCAGGGCCTTACTAAATGAGGGCTATTCCTTAGGCACAGAAATGAAGCAACAGATTTTAAGTCACTGTGGTTCTTGCTACATGTTACATAACTAATTTCTTTACCCAGTCCTCTGGTGTATGTTGAAATATATTATTTTCTCTCAGTATTATTCAAATACTGACTCAAAAGGCAACAGTAATAGCAAAGCTACAGCATAAAGTAAAGCTAGAAAGATAATTTAGATGGTGTCAGAAAATCAGGAAAGAAGTTCTCTGCCTTATTTGATCTAACTTTGAAGAGAAGGAGCTTAAGTTACGGAGATATTCAGGACTAACAAAACAGAAAGTGATCCTTATTCCATGAAGAGAAAATGCATTGGTCTGGATTTGGTAAACTATTTGCCATTTCTGAGAAATCTCTGCACTCCCTGGGCAAAGAAAATGCCACTTGTGAGTGGGAATCAAGCCCTGTTCTTGAGGCAGAGGATGATGCCATCGAAGTTACCCTGACATCTGTAGGCACCAGCTGCTTAGACTTTGGAATTGTTGCATGGGCTGGACACAGGGCAGATCCACTAGTAGAGACAGGAATTGCTTCACTTGAATCTCCAACATGTTTTCTTCTCGGGAGAGTGAGAAAGTGTTGTGCCACCTGCTCAAAATCTTGCAGATTCTCCTAGCAGCTATGCTGCCATGACAGACATGAGGCCAGGTCCCCTGCACCCTGGCCACATTATAAGGGACAGCATCAGCCTGGTAAGAACTAGATACCCCTGCCCTAATCATGGCCTCTCAAGCCCTCTGAGGCTTCAGGCAGCATCGCTACCCCACTGGCAAGAGTAAATTGGTAGCCTGTGCAAAATGTATCATGTTGCTTCTTTCCATCAGCACAAAAATTTTTAACTTATCTGCCTCAGTGACTTACTGAGGCTTTTAAATGTAGATTTGCATATTCCTCAAATACTGACACAAGGAGATTTTAACTATTACAAAGAAAACAAAGCTGCAGGATAGACGAACAGAGAAAAAGGTAAGAGTGGCATAGGTGATAGTGAAACAAGATTGTGAACAAATGCACCTAGTGTGCTGTATACATGTGCTGCCCAAGTGAGACGTGTATTGTGAGCTAACACACTCCAGGACTGACGGAATTTGAATCCTTGGAACCCAAGAGCTATTTTTAGGAAACCAGTTTAATGTTCAAGACTTTCCTGTACCATCTCACTTCTCATTTTCTACCTCATTCTTTTCTGGGAGGTGGCGTACGTGTTCATACAGGTTCTCACTGTGTAGTTCAGGCCAGCCTTTAACTGATTATGTAACCAAAGTTGGCCTTGAATTCCCACCGATTTCCTGCCTCAGCTTTTCGAGTGCTGGGATTACAGGTGTGTACCACCACATTTGGCCTCTCATTTTATTCTTAATAGATCAAAAGAATCTAGATCAAATTGCATGGAGCTGAGAAGCATCAGCTGCTTTAGTTTTCTAAATCAAACAAAATCTTCCTCTTAGCTCCACTTCTCCAAGAATGGTGTGGCCATGATAGTGCTTTGAAAACATTTTTAGCAGTTTCCCTGTCTAGGATCTCCCCAGAATGTCAAGACACTATGAAGTCAGGAATCTGGGGACGCCTTAGAGCTCTAGTCTGACAAGGCTTGCCTGAGTAGTTCATACAGTGGTTACTGCCCAAGCAGACATGATCTTGCAAAGGTAGGAAGTGTCTATTTTGAGCTTATTCATACCTAAGGCAGGGCAATTAGTGTTGAGCCTCCCCAGCCTCTCCGTGCCCTCCACCAGACCTCTTGAATTATCCTTGGCCTATATAGTAGTGAGATGCAGGGCATCTCTTGATTCTTCTATTTAATGTGTTATTAATGGAATCTCACTGATTAATATCAAGGGCTGTTTTTTAAATTTCTGATTATTCCTTTGTAATGGCATCCTAACATTCCATAGATAGGAATGTTAGGATGTCATTGTCTCTCTGAAATGCTCATTATTATTTAGATTTTATTTTGTGTTGCTCCTGTTTCCTCTGAGTTCTTCTTCTAAAAATGCTTATTTTTGTCTATTTTCCACATAACTGGCTCTCATTAAGTATCTGGTGAGCTTGATTAATTGTAAGTCTTAAACTCTAAGGAGTTGAATGGAAAATTTGTTGGTTAGGGTGAGTCATACCATAGGTAATTGTGCAAAACTGGCTGTTTTATTGTAGTACCCAAATGTTAGTATCTGTAAGTATTCTCTCCTCCTTCTGACATTTGTCCTAACAAGGAAAGCTATTGTCTCCTGCCTGAGAAATAATTTTGACAGCCAGAAATCAAGAATCTGAATGGGGAAAAAGGGACATGGCTTATTGAATCTCCCTGTTTGCATTACAACTTTGTACTTCTGCCTTTACCTTCCCCTGGGTTTTTTGTTTGTTTGTTTTGTTTTTTTCCCTATGCTGGGATTGAACCCACCACCTAATGCATGCTAGGTGACCACGTATCACTGAGATATACCTCCAGCCAAGATTTTGTGTCTCATCTCCCTAGTTTGGTTCTGGATAGCATGCAAATATTTGCTTATTCCAGGGTGGTCTCCAGCTTGTGATCTTTTTGTCTCAGCCTTCAAGTAGCTAAGAGTGCAAGTGCATGCCACCATGCACAGAACATTACTCTTCATACATTTAGAGGAGGAGGAGGGAGAGGAAGAGACGGAGAAAGAAGAAGAGGAAGAAGAATAAGCAAAAATAAATATCCTTTTTGATCAAAAAGTGCTTCCTGCTTTGCACACAGCTCAGAAGGTGGGGCTCCCAAACCACCAGAGGAAAAGGAATTTAAAACATAATAAATACTGTGGCTAACTTCCCCTACTCAGCCCAAAGTCTGGCTGCCCAGCCGACATGAAGGCTTTCCTTATTCTGGGGCTGCTCCTCCTTTCTGTCCCCATCCATGGGAAGATCTTTGAAAGGTGTGAGCTTGCCAGAGCTCTGAAGAGATATGGACTGGATGGCTACCGGGGAATCAGCCTGGCAAACTGTAAGTCTCCATCTTAGTTCCAGAGAGTTGGACACATATGGAACAGATACGTAGCAGAAGGGCTTTGAGTAAATACACGCATTTGTTTCTCTGTGAGCCTGAGTAGTTAACAATGGTGAAAATATCGGTTTAGTCATTCAGAATCAGAGATGTCAGAAGAAGGACGGAGGACGGGAGAGGGAAACATTCCACACATTCTGCCTCACACAGGATTTGCGGTCTTCTCCCAGACTGGCTAGACTGGTCTCTTACTCAGACTCAAAGGCCCAAGAAGGCTGAGTAAATGATATGTTGGAGGCCAGTTCGGAATGTGGGCTCTGAGCATGGTTATCTTTTTTTCCTTAAATTTGTCACTCATGAAAAGAATTTCAGAGCAAAATTTTTTTTTCTTTCCTTTCTTTCTTTCTTTCTTTCTTTCTTTCTTTCTTTCTTTCTTTCTTTCTTTCTTTCTTTTCTTTCTCCCTCCTCTTCCTCCTCCTCTTCTTCTTTCTCTCCGCCCCCTGTTTTGAGACCAGGTCTCACTATGTAGCTCAGCCCAGCCTTGAACTCACTATGTAGCCCAGGCTGGCCTTGAAATTACAGCAATCCTCCTGCCTCAGCCTCCTGGGTGCTGGCATCATTGGTATGCACCACCACGCCTGACTTCAGAGCAACATTTTAAAAATTACATTGACCTCTCAAAAATTGGAAGAAAGAACCTGTTTCCCAGGTACTGTTCATAAAAGGAACTCTGAAAATGGAAAGTTTTACTCTCTTACTCACTCTAGGTTGACTTAAATATTTTTTTTTGTTTTCGTCTCCACAATTCAAGATGTATCACACAGAAAAGTTACTTAACAACTTACTCCATATTTGTCAATGTTATCACTGTACTTTTCAGATTGTAGTCAAACATTTTCCATCAATAACTACTTCTGAATGAGCATATGAATAGATGGATGAAATCATAGAATAACCTATTCCGTAGTCTGTTTTTAGGATTCTAACTTGACATCTAAACTCACCTTTAGGCAGTATAGTATTTCTCCCTCTCTCTCTGAAAAATCTTTATATTTTTGTAATAAAAAGCATTTTCCAGTAAGCTGCTTGTAATGCCAGCTACTGACAAGAGGATAACAAATTCAAAGCCAGCCTGGGAAACTTAGCAAAAATCTTGTGTCAAATTAAAATAAAAGGAATGAGGGATGTGGCTCAGCATTAGGATGCTTATGTACCATGGATGAGGGTCTGAGTTCAAACCCCAGTACTAAAAAAATGGCAGTTTTTCATCACCATTTGTACTTATTATAAATTTACTAAATCTCTCAACAACTCTGTAGGTTTGTTCTATTCTAAGCAGGATATTACCTGAGGAATGAAATCAGAGGAAGAATTAAAGTACTAGAAGAAACATATATATATATATATATAGTGTGTGTGTGTGTGTGTGTGTGTGTGTGTGCGTGTGCCAGGGATCAAACCTTGCACTTGCCAAGCAGGCACTTGTGCTGCCTAGCTGAACTCCCAGCCCTATTTTAATATTTTAAAAAGTACTTTATCTTGCTTTATTATTTCAGGGGTGTGCTTAGCCAGATGGGAGAGTAGCTATAACACACGAGCTACAAACTACAATCCTGGAGACAGAAGCACCGATTATGGGATATTCCAGATCAATAGCCGCTACTGGTGCAATGATGGCAAAACCCCGAGAGCTGTTAATGGCTGTGGTATATCCTGCAACGGTAAGACAAGGTGGTATTGCAGTGATGGGCAGGACGCATCTGGGAAGAGAGAATAGAAAGTCAGTGCCGGTGAGAGATAGCACAGTGCCTGACTGCATGCAGGTGTTCCCGGGTTCCAACCTCAGCACAGCGAAAAAATGAAAATTAAACTCAATAGAAATAAAAAGCTAATATAAAATGTCCGAGACTTTTAACATACAAAATATTCTGAAATTACGTATAAATTTAATCTAAATGGTCTCATTGATGCTTTGTCTAGAACAATGTCATTCCTCTTACTAGGGATAGTTCAGGAATAATTTGGTTATCTGATACCTTTTTGATTGCTTTATCTTTTATTATAAACTTTCCTAAATATATAAAAAATTAGAATAAGCTGAAATATACCTATATGCTTAACTAACTTAGCTATTAACATTTGGCCATATTGTTTTCTATATATGTATAAAGTATACATATGTATGTTCATATACTAGATATGTATTTCTTCTGAATGATTTTAAAGTGAGTTAGAAGTATCCAGATATTTTATTTCTAAATGCTTTAGTTTGCCTCTCCAAAAACACGAGTCCAAGGTAATAATTATCACAATAATTTAACTCACATATTTGAGATGAAGCTCATTTTCTTTCTAGAAAAAGAATACATAATTTACTACATGCCAAGTTATGGGAATATTAGACTCCTGAACTCATATTAAAATTAAATAATGTTGAATTGTTGGTGTGGAAAATAGTGCATAGATACTGAAAACTGATGTTATTAAATTTTTAAATATTAAAATTCCCAGTAGAAAAAAATACATTTAGAATATTTTGTTTTAATCTATTTGATTTGCTTTGAAAATATTTTCTATCATATACTAATCTATAGTCACTGAATAAAACTTAGAGAAAAGTATATGCAGAAAAATATAGCACCCATAATCTTACTTCAAAGAGACTTACAGCCATTGGTAAATTTTGGTGTACTTTCTTCCCAAATGTGTATGGATGATGTATACATGTTACCTGATGTATACATGTTACATTTGATCACAAGCATGTGATCAAATTGTGTTTATACAGATATTTAATAATATATGCTGCTTTATAATATTTTCCATAATTTCCACAAAATTATTTTCCAAACTGACAAATACAAATCCATACTAACATTTTAAAGGGTGAACAGAATTCTACTATATGAATTTTTTTTTACTATATGAATATTTTATAATTTATTGATCTAACTCTATTAAGCACTTAAATTTTTCCAGTTGTTTCCTTTTATAAATTTCTTTTTTTTTTTTTCTGTCTTTTTCCTTTTTATCAGTACCAGGTATCGAACTCATGACTGCCTGCTTGCAAGGCAGGCGCTTATGCCGCTGAGCTAAATCCCCAGCCCCTCCTTTTATAAATTTCTAGGGAGACCTTTATACATACATATTTGGCTACATTTCTTATGTTTCTTTTGGATAAAATTTTAATGTAGAATTGGTGCATAAAATATCATTAGACATATTTTTTTAACAGTGTGTTATACAAAGATGACCTATCATATTAATAACAACAGATCTTCTAGTGGATTTAATAAATGAGAAATAGATACAGCAGCGAATAGGGTTGACTGGCTGCAGGTAAATTTAAGATGAAATTTCTGTCACAGTTGTTTTCACTTCTCATCATCTCTCTTTCAGCTTTGCTGCAAGATGACATCACTCAGGCTGTGAACTGTGCCAAGAGGGTTGTGAGAGATCCACAAGGCATCAGAGCATGGTATGTTTAAGTGTTAATGGGGAAAACTGCTCATGTTACCCCCATGCCTACCCACTGAGATGAAAACTTTTAAGGACCAAAGTGTCCTGAGCACTGCATGGCAGATTTTGGCTTATGTGAGACCAAATCAACAGTAGTCTACTTTTAACTGATTCAGTCAGTAGCTTACTCTTCCTCTTCAACTCTATTTTAGGGTTTTGGGGGCTTGAAGATTCTTTATACTCTTGTAGTTCCTTTTTGTATCATGAAAATATTTGTAAAATAAGTAAATGTCCAGTGCAACATTTCTAACTATTTGTGTTTAGCATTCTTGGTCTACTGAGAGTCTGGGGAGGGGCAAGGAACTTGTGGGCATGCCTCCACTCATAGAAACACCCAGGTCTAGCTAGAGGCTGTAAGTTGTTTTTGATAAAATATTTTTTACCTCAGTGGATTTGGAATATGTGTACTAAAATGAAGGCATGTTTTAACTTTTTCTCTGTGTGTTTCACTATTCTGTACAGGGTGGCGTGGAGGAATCGGTGTCAAAACCATGATCTCACCGAGTATGTGCGCGGCTGTGGAGTTTAACTGCAAAGTTTTCCTTCTTGAGCTTACATCGCCTCTTTTTTAGTGAAGAGAGTGATAGTTAAGTGAAAGGTCACATCACCATTGTTTCTCTTCAAATCAACAGAATCTTTATAGCAGCAAGAGCAAAGTATATGTTTATTAATGTGTTTATTATTGGATGTTAACCTACATTTTTTCAGTTTACTAACAGAACTAATACTGGTGAAAATTTACCTATAACTTTGATTCTCAAATATATCTACAATACTATCAGTCCTTTACCAAGAAAAAACACAGACACTTTATTCTGAATAATACAAGTACTGCCCAACAAAGGATTTTGTTACAAAAAAAAAAAAAAGGCTATCTTAAAGCAACGTGAACTCTGGCACAATTTCAACAGAGCAAGCATCTGATGTCTTCACCTGTTCTGTCGTCTCTTAAAGCAGCAAAATAAACAACTATGTTGAGCCACATCAGTCTTTAAAGGAGCAGAATGCAGACTGAGTGAATAAAGAATTTTCGTGAAAAATGAGACCTTTTGTTTGTGTGTGATACTGGGGACCAAACATGAGGCCTTGCCCATGCTGAATAAGCCTTTCACAATTTTGCCACAAATTCAGCCCTATAAAAACACATAAAAATGTGATCTCGTGTTCAAGTACTTTCTTAAAAAACAATTTATATCAATCTGTTTTAAAGCTTGAAAGAACACTTGTTGCTAATTATGAAAGTTTTAAGGAGAGATTAAATGAGTTTCTCAGTTTTATTAACTGAAGCACACACATTTAAACTAAATCTAAGACCAGAGGGATAAAAGTGTGCATTTTGTAAAACTACAAACATTTATCACTAAAGAATTTGCAAAGCATATGTCACCTATCTTTGTTTAACCCATTCAGGGTGTCCTGAGAAAAAATTTATATAGACAGATGGGTGCTGGAATCCTGCACATATCTTAAATCTCCTTTGCATCTCCATTCAGACATGATAGCTACTCTAATAGATGGTGATCACTACAGACCTACCAGGAACCTGGGCAAAGAGCCATGGTAGAAAGAGATAACTCTGATTTACCTGTATCAGTGACTTAGGACTTTTAGTGTATGTTTTTATGTATCTCACATACTGACCCAAGTAGATTTTAATTATAACCAATAAAAAGGAGTGTAAGAAGGATGACAAAAAAAAAAAAAAACAAAAAACAATGTAATAGTAGCATAGGTTATAGTGAATCAAGATCATAAAGTCTGTGTCTTTAGAAACCAAACATGTAGGGTTGTATCCAGGGTTCATCATGGTCTGAATCATAGAGGGAAAGATTTTGGGGGGAATTTTTTATTTTAAAAAGAAAAAAATAATACAAAATTTCAAAATAAGATAATAGGAAAGTAATAATGGTTAATACATTCCATATTGTTATCTTCAAAGTAGTTGCTCAGATTGTAAGCCTTAGGCATAGAAAATGAATCAGACAATATAAGCACAAATCTTTTTTTTCAATGAATTAATAGCAATTAGTAGTGTAACTATTTTAACTATCTTGCATATATATTTTAAACTATTTGAATACATATATATATATTGTTAGGAAGATAACTTAATCTCTAGAATTCTTAAAGACCATCTCACTTGTCAGCTTCCAATCTCATTTTTCTCAGATTATGCCATATAGATCACATAATATAGTGACAATAAATTTGTCATCCAATGAATCAATGCAAGAAACATCATTTGGCTTTTGTTTTACAAATCAAACAACATGCATCTCTAAGCTCCACTTCCCCATTAGTGATCACTGTCCGTTGAAAACTACTCATCAGATTCCCTGTGCAGCTTCCAGGCATCTCAAGACATCAGGAAATCTGAGGAAACCTTCGATTTCAAGTTTGGTATGGCTCTAGGCAAGATGTTCACACTGTGGTTTTGTCCAAGCTGATGTGGCCACAGCATGCAGGACATCTCTTTATCTTTTCTATTAAATGTGTTATTTAAGTGGCCTTATTGATAAAATCAAGGATTTCTTTGATTGTCTGATTATTTCTTCACTATAGCATTCTTGCTTAGTCCATGGATGTAATATTATGCTTTTCTCTCTGAGATACTTGTTATAGTTTATATTTAATTTTATCTGACTTTTATTTCCTCTGAGTTCTGCTTCTCTCATGTTTATTTTTTCCCCTGTCTTTCACATTAGTGGCTTTCATCAAATACCTGATGATCTTTGATAGATTGTTTATAAGGCCTGAGAGAGAAGGAGCTAAATGAAAAATCTGCGAGTTTAGGTGGGTCACATTTCAGGTAATTGAACAAAACAGGCTATTTACTTGTGGCCCCAAATGTTAGGGTCTTCAGGTCTCTTCTCCTGGTTCAGCCATTTTCCACAACAAGGAGTTCTATTGATTCCTTCTTGGCTGGTGACTTCCACAGCCAGAAATCACGGAGCTCAGCAGGGCAGGTTGAGAGCCACAGACCTGGATTGTATTGCAGAATGCCCAGTATTACTTAATGTCTCTGTTAGCAATATGGTTTTATCCCCTACCTTAACCTTTAACACAACATTTATTTATTTTTAACTCTTACTTATTTCTAATTTTTATTTAATTAGCTTTTCAGTGCTGGAGGCATCTCCAAGGCTCATGCATATGAGGCAAGGGCTGTACCACTGCCATACGCCACAGCACTTCAGCTCTCCGTAGAGTCCCGAGTCCTGAGTCTATGGCTCTTCCTGTCCAAGGAGTGATCCTCTCATCCTTCTTCCTCTGGGGTTTAATAAGGACAGCATCTGATTTTCCCCACCTGGTGGATGTCTGTAGTTTAACTGCTCCACGTACAGATTCTAAGCAGTCTTGCTGTTTATGGCACTGCCATCCAGTGCTGCCTTCAGAGTTTCCTACCTGTTAGTAAGATAAGAATCAGTTTGCTTTATATCATCCACTTTTGCAAGTACTTGGGTGTCAGTTTTCCCATCTATAGTAAATTTCTACTCATCCACCTTAGATTACACAACCTTTTCATCACATATCTTTCTCTATTTGGCTTATACCGTTTTTGTTTTGATTTTGATGTGAGGTCTAGATCCTTGCTCAGGCTGACCTCTACTTGATATGCATAGTGATCCTCCCGCTTCAAACCTCCCAGTAGCTACAGGTGTGTGCCAGTTTGGTTTGTACCTTGAAAGTTCTTCTGTAGGTATTTTAATTGGATTTGGACAGGAGTAGAGATAGACATATGTTTCCAGCCCACATGTTCAACACTGGCCCCGTAGTACATGCTTTTGAATATCATGAATGGTGGCAGAGCTTTCACTTTTAAGGAAGGTACAGTATCAATTTGGAGAAACAGTCAAAATCTGAGAAATTCTATGTCAAATCCCCTTTGCCTGGTTGTAAGCCCATAACACTTTTTATAGCCAGTACCTATTTTTCTATAATGGGAATCAAATATGCTTTAAAAATTAGGGATTATGGGTAACTAATGAATTATCTGTTTCAATGCAAATAAGTAACAGGTTTTATAAGCATCCTTCCTAATAACACAGAATGCAAATATGACACCCAGTTAAACAGCATATATAAAAATCTCAGGAAAAATCTCTGGCTGAAAATTATGTCTTCTCATTTTATTTTTAAATATCTGGCTCAACATGTCAAAATATATATTAAAATTATGACTGAGTGTTGTCATTCCCTACAAGTCTTGGCTCAGGGAATATGACTGTGGAGATCAAAAACATCTCTTACCTTTCAAGTAGTCACACTGTGACCACACTACCACTTCTCATCTGTTTAGCAAGCATTTGCTTATTTCACCCAAAGAAATCTTTTAATTGCTCAAACATTTGAAAAGAAAAATTAGTTTCATCATCAGTTGGTGGAAACTGTCACTCATACTAACTGAACACTTTTCACATTGACGTAGGAAGAGTACAAGGAGCCAAGACTGACTGTTTCAGCTGGTTCCTGTCTGTTTTGGACCCCAGAATCTGTCTCATTATTTATTATTAATGAATCAAAATAAGGCCCAGTCTGATAATGACATAGTTCTTGATTTTCGGGCCTAAACATTGATTTTTGAGAGCTGAATCTGACAATCTTTAAAGGCCAAATAGAAACTGTCGTTGAAGGAGAATAAGGGGAACAACAAACTGCTGTCATTTTATGTGGTGCACAGTCTCTCTGCCTAAGTAGATCCACAGCATGGTTCTTTTGAGCTCTGGTAGTGTAGATTTTAAAGAACCTGCACAGCCTCGAGAAACAACTTGTTTTTCTTTTTTTTTTTTTTTCTTTTTTTCTTTTTATCGGTACCGGGAATCGAACTCACGACTGCCTGCTTGCAAGGCAGGCGCTTATGCCGCTGAGCTAAACCCCCAGCCCCAACAACTTGTTTTTCAAGGTAGCACTTAGTTGGCTATAGTTCAGGTAGGTGGACTTTTAGTCTATTTTAAAATGACCTCATATGTTCTGACATGGCAAAGCGAGGCAGAGTATGTAGGGAAGGAGTAAGAGAAATTGTTTACATGAACCTTATTTATAATTTGTACAGCTGTCACATTTCAAAGAAGACAAAAGTCCAAGTAGGAAACTGGCTAAGCCAAATAATGTCATGGGCTGTACTCTACACAGCTGGCCCTCCTGTCAGGTCTACTGGGAGTAAAAAATTGAAGGAACAAAGATTAATGCAAGGGCTCAGGATATAGCTCAGTGGCACAAGTGCCTGCCTGAAAGTGCAAGGTCCTGCATTCAATGCCTGGTACCAAAAAAAGAAAAGAAATTAATGCCAAAATAGTGAGTACACACAAAGGAGTTTACTATAATGAATATTATTTAAAAAATCACAGCTAAATTTAAGCCAAAAATAGCAATTGCTTTTTTCATAGTTGATAAAATTCATAATAATATAGAATGTCCTGTTTTGCCTATTATTCCTGAAGCAAATTTTCAAATGTTATTACTTCAGTGACCAAAGATTAATTATTACAACATCAGACAGGTCATCCATTTACTCCTGCTTTGCATGCCAGTCACAAAGTGTGAGCCCTAAACCAAGAGAGGAAAAAGGAAGTCAAAAGACTTTAACAAGTGGTGTCACTGCTCTTGGCCATTCTAGAGGTCTGTGCTTCCAGTCATCATGAAGGTTCTCCTTCTTCTGGGCCTGGTCCCCCTGGCTGAGACTGCCCAGGTCTAGTTCTACAAAAACCATGAGTGTGCCTAAACTCTGAAAGCAAAAGGAATGGATGGCTACAATGAAAACACCCTGGCAAATTGTAAGTCTGTTGTCCCTACCTCCAGACATTCATCTAACGAACAGGTTCAATGGGAAAATGGATGGTCAGAGAGGTTTGGCATGGAGAGAGTATCATTTCATTGTGGATTCCAATATTTACAACATTTAAAACATTTGTTCCTTTAGTGTCAGAGATACAGTACTGCAGTGGCAAGCAGAAGCATCATCACCCAAGATTAGGAAGCAGCTTTATTTAGTGTTGATGGGTACCGACCTAAAAAAAAAAATGTCAGGTCCTGAAGATTCAGG